TTCAATTGACTCGAATTTTCGAAAAGCCCATGTCCTATCACTACTTACCAGCGCTGAATTCATGTTTACGATAAACTGCTTCACAAAATATGGAGCGAAATGAGACGCGCCTTTTCTGTTACTCATGGATGCATGCGCTTTACTTACACAAAACAACGATCATTAATTTTAGATAAAGTATTGCAATATTATATTAAATAAAGACTGCTTAGTTTTACAGCGCCTGTGAAAGAACCTATAAAACGGACTGAACAGTTTGCATATATTTAAAAACTTTCAATTGTTAAAAACACAAACCTTTCTTCAGCCGAATCGCAGCAGCGCGGCGGAGCCTTATGACGTCACACCACCAGCCCAGAATAAAAGTCCCGCTCACAAGCTGCAGTGTAAAATCACAAAAAGTGCGGTGAAATTTACACATACAGGCAAACAATAAAATATATGTCAGGGTAAATCAGGGTTTATTTCTTAGAGAAATTCATATTTAAATACACATTGTTTACTGATGTAAAAACTGGTTTCTAATTTCAATTATTTCATTTTAGTTATTTGTAGCCGTGAAGAAATGGCAAACAAAACAGGCAGATAGTAGCGAAGCCAGAAATTTTCAATTGAGTGAACTTTGGTGAATTAGGGTGGACCCCAGTGCTTACTCTTAACCCCTTAACTGTCACCCCCCATTTTTTAAAATAGGCATGCAGGTCAAGCGGCAACCTCCCGCTCTCTCAAACGCTCTTCGGAAATCTACGGGTGACGTCACGGACACTACGTCCATGTTTTTATACAGTCTATGATGCAGGTGCACTATCCAAACTTAAATTGATGTAATTTATGAACACTTTGGAATACAGACATAAGGTCAGTCTCTTTTTAAAGAAGAAAATCAGCATATTATCGCAAAAATTGAATTATTTTCAAAAAAATGTAAGTATCAAAACGTTATGGAAGTTTAAATTTACTGTAAAGAAAATGCACTATATTAATTTTATTTTATTCTATTTATAATAAATATTTTACATAACAGATTTTACTCTAAAATTGGTATAAAATTAAATCCTTGTGTCTAAATGAGTTATGTTCCAAATTCGA